TTGTGACACAGCGTAGGAGTGGAGCGTAACTGTCGCCCACCACTTGATGCCTCACTATATCGGAATAACAGAACAGATGACAGAACCCCGCTTTTAAATCGGCCAGGTAGGGCGAGGGGAGTGTTCTGGGCCCGATTGAAAACCATTTATCTTTTTCCAGACCCAGTATTTAATTTAACTGTTCAGGAAATTTAAGTTTGTAACGACCGCTCCCCGTCCACGTAAAAACCTGTTTATATTCATCATAACTCAGATCGAAATCTAGTTTAATCTTTCTAAAATGACGATTCAAGTGATTAATTATCATGTATTTGTCCCCTGATCCATATCCAAATTGTTTGTGATGTCTTTTGTATTTTTTTATATCTGCAGGGATCACTATCTCAGGGTTTTCCGGTATACCAGCCTGCCAAGTATCCATCCATTTGAACCAGTCCTTATCCTTAGGTATTGTTAACCATGTGTGGGGGTAGGCTAGATCAGTCAGCGCAACCTCCCACTGTCCTTTTAAATTGATATGCTGCGCCAGATCTGTTCAAAATTGAGAGGCCATGTTATCTTTAAACACAGCAGCACTGGCGTGGGACGGCAGAGTGATGTAAAAACCGGAGCTCTGCATGCTTCACGCTAACATACGCCTTTTTAGAGAAAACATCGATCACAGTCAGCAGAAATCTGTAACCATCGTTGCAAGAGGACACAGCTTGCATGTCGCAGAGATCGGCCTGAAATTGGTTAAGAGGTCTCGATACAAATACTCTGTTCCGGGGGAAGTTTATCTTCACTGGTTTATGTAAGGTGTAAGCATCCTGTTTTGCTAGAAACTCTGACACGATGCACGCTTATTTTCTTACCAGCCTCTTGTTCTGCAGCTCTATGTAGAGCATCTACTCCTTTATAACTCCCTGGGCGAGCTGGATTATAATATATTTTCTTCAATAAACTCTCCAGTTTAACAGGCATGTTTACCGCAAAGCATAACACTCCTCTCTGAACCACTATTCCACATAGCTCTGTGTTTTCATTCATTCATGAAGCTTTTTTTTCCCAAATTTTATTGAGCACACCAATCATATATGAACACACATACAGTGATGGATTTGTTTGATTGTTTGTTTTTAAAGAAACACTCAAGAATGGATAAATGAAAAGTAGCATACAGTTAACATCTTTATTTAACATGTTTTTTCCAGTTTTTTTTTTAAAGAAGCAATGTAAAATGAAAATAAACACACAGATGACTGTAACAACTCTATTTTTTTTTAAGCATTGAAGATGTATACCAAAAAACAAAAGGGTAGATGCAAATAGAATGAAAAGCGTTACATGTTTTGTTTCTTAAACTAACCTACATATAGATAAAGATGATTTCAGACTGGAGATGGGTACAGTAGTGGTAGTTTCCTAAAAATAACTCAGTACCCATTATATTTATTTGTAGTACACATTATGCTATCATAAAACACTGGTCCTGCAAATGACACTTATTTCTGAATGTGTGATGATGATCTTACTGGAGTGTGTGATCTCTTGCTTGCAGCATCATTTGTTGCTCCAAGCTGAACTATCTGTGATACAGATGTGTCCTTTCCTGTTGCATCTTACATCATCAACTAGCCAGCCCCTTGCTGACTGTTCATGAGCAGTCTGATTTAAAATCCACATGTTGTTTCAAAGAAGGGCTGTTCTGAGCAAGAACACTCTGTTCCTCTTTGAAATGATAAAAAGGAGGTGTGGAATAACAGATGCAGGTGGAGAATGGAGGATGGGTAGGATAGGTAGATGCAGAATGATGTGAGGATAGAGGAGATGGGGTGAAGGAGAAGGTAAGGATGTCTGTATTGGTTGGGAGGGGATGGACATGTGGGAGGGATCAAAAGGAATCATAATGTTGAACAATGCATATGTACATTCATAGAATTATACACAAACACTATCATTGTCATTGTGTTATTGTAAATATCAGCCTTATATTGGTCTCACAACCTGACCATAATCAAGTAGTTTAAGTTGACTGAACCCAACCACACACTTAACGT